AAAAAGTCCCAAATTCAGTCACACCTTCCCACCACTCGGAAAATTAATCAAACACTTTGCGTGCACTAAATCCCCGTGCCAGTAAATGGGCATCAATGGCTGTCGTCGCCACCGCTTCCCCCTCCTGGCCGCGGTCCTCCTGGCCTTATACGCCGCCGCCGCCAAGGCGGATCCTAACGACGAGGCCTGCCTCACCCAGCTCAGCCAGTCCCTGGAGGACCCCTTCAACAACCTCCTCAACTGGACCAAGACCACCTTCTCCAACCCCTGCCAGGGCTTCACTTCCTTCCTCCAGGGCGCCACCTGCAACAATGGCCGCATCTACAAGCTCTCCCTCTCCAGCCTCTCCCTCCGCGGCTCCATCTCCCCCTTCATCTCCAATTGTACAAACCTCCAAGCCCTCGACCTCTCCTCCAACCAGCTCAGCGGCCCCATCCCGGCCGATTTGCAGTACCTCGTCAACCTCGCCGTCCTCAATCTGTCGGCCAACGACCTCTCCGGCCCGATCCCCGACCAGCTGGCTCTCTGCGCCTACCTGAATGTCATCGATCTCCACGACAACAGGCTATCGGGCCCGATCCCGCAGCAGCTCGGGCTTCTGGTCAGGCTCTCCGTCTTCGACGTTTCCGGAAATAGGCTCTCCGGCGCGATTCCGGCTTCGCTGGGGAACCGGACCGGAAACCTGCCCCGGTTCAATGCGAGCTCATTCGAAGGGAATAAGGGTCTGTACGGGTACCCGCTGCCGCCGATGAAGAATAGAGGGCTTTCGGTCATGGCGATTGTAGGGATTGGGCTGGGGAGCGGACTTATTAGTTTGGTACTCAGTTTCACGGCGGTGTGCGTGTGGCTGAGATTCAGCGAGAAGAAATCGGAAAATGAGGAGGGTAAAATGGGCGGGTTCATGCCGGATTACTGAGATTGTTGCTGGATTTTTTTTGGTTTGGATTTTTTGCGACTGAAGAATTGAAATCTGGTCAAGATTTATTTTTGCAGGTATGTTCATTCTTGGAGGGGGGTGTGGACTGGGTTTGGTATCTTTTTTCTTTCTCTTTATTTTATTTTATTTTATTTTATTCACCTTTTAAATTTTAATTTATCTATTTATTGGAATTTTTAGTGATGGTAGCTGTACTTGTTTTCCTATTTTCCCTTTTATTTTGTGATATCCTTTCTTTTTTTTTTGGATAATTTGGTAATATTTCCCAGACTCTACTGTTTAACTTGGTACAAATGTGTACAGAATTTGAACGCTGTAATTACAATGTTTGCCTTTATTGTCTCTAATTAAACACAAATAGCCTACCTTCATGTGTATTGTTGTGCTAAATATAATTATTAGACTGATGTTCTCTTTTCATAAATGTACGTCACTTTGTTAAAACATTATGTTTTAAAAATTAATGTAAATAAAAATATGAGATATATGAATATGTATTTTTTTCATCTAGAGTTTAGTGAATCAATCTCATAAAAATTAGGTGATTTTGTATTATCCTTTTTTCTTTTCCTATTTTGCCCTTTAGTTGGAATTTGTTACTTTGTACTGCAATTCCACGTGATCAATGTATTCATTGGTAGTAAACAAATTGAAGTCGCAAATGAGAATAATTTACTGAAAATAATAGTGCTCGAGGCGACTTTCGGGAGTCTTGAAATAGTTTTTCCTCGAAAAAAGTTGACCCATATAACATAATTTAAGGTAGGAATGCACTCAAGCTGGTGTACGCGGCTATGATGACCGTCACATTAACAGTGCCCGTTTTTATTTATTCATAAGTTCTATTTTATTTTCTTTTTAATGGAGAGAATCACACAAAATCCAATTGTTAATGTTATCTTGTTTCATTTTCTCTAGGCTATTTCTCATGCCTATGCAGCCTATCTGTATCTATTCACTTAAAGAAAAGAGTAAAAATATATGACTCGAGAAACTTGGCCCATTGATATATATTAGAAGTTTGTGAGTTTGTCTAACACAAACATTATATTATTTAGTACTCTGATACTTTTTAAAAGAATACATATTTCATTTAGTAAAATACAGTAAACTGTAAATAAATATAAGATTTTATAGAAAAAAGTGTAATTTTCTAATGAATAAGCATGTAGTCCGTAAAGGGTTTGTAACACACGATTTTTTTTAAAAAAATTTTTTTAGTTTGCCAATCTTGTTATAATATAGAATTAAATTTTATTTCAATTTATTAATGTAATACGAGTAGAAAATGTGTTTAGCAGAAACATTCAAATATATCAGGTCAAAAGCATGAACCCTTTGAATTATGATGATAGAGGTTGGTCGATGCATGACCTCACATCATGGTTGTGTTGGCTAATTAGTTGCATCATGATTTTAGGAGCATGGCTTTCTTA